ATGTAGACCGAATTTACCAGCTGATTGTGATATAGCGAAAATATCCATTCAGACATCTAGAAAAAAAACAACAAAAAATTGAGCAAAGAATATACTTTTCGATGATTCCCTCTTCTGGCTCTACAATTATATATATATATATATATATATATATATATATATATATATACAGAATATTCTTGAATAATCGCCATTAACAATATTGGTGTCTTTTAAATAGTACCGATTTGTTAAGTAAGACCAATAGAATGCAGTTCACTAGAGATGCATGAATTATAAGAATATTAAAAATATGATAGCAAATAGAATATCACATAAAATTAAGGAAATTTCCACAAAAAATTGACGATCAATAGATCATAGACGGCCAGGGTAAAGACAGTATCTGAACCAGCTTCTTTTGGACACATAAGTTAGGCTTCTTAATGCGGATTCCTCAGCAATATGCAGTAGACGAACTCTTAAGGTGAAGTTAAGATTAATTGATATGCAGTAGATGACGTTTTAAGCCTCGTGAACATCAATCTTGTGTTCTGTATCCACAAGATGACATAGAATAGCGCTATGAATGGATTTTGTTTGTCCATTCCCACCAGTCACGAAGATGCTTGCCAGGAGACACAATTATATCTTTCATGAAGGATTCAAATGAGTTTATTTTATACTAAAACCTGCGCTGAAGATGTTGCCCGGAAAGACAGTGGAAGCTTGGCAATTAAACCAACCAACGCAGAGAACACAAATAATCCAAATATTCAGAGATTATCATGTAAGTGAATTGGCAATAAGAGTTTTAAGTGTTTTTAGGAACTAAAAGAGCATTGATGAGGTGAAGTGGAATAGATTTAACCGAACGCTACTAGGTTTGGTTGATGAAAGGTGAGCAAAATATGACTAAGTCTTTTACCTGTGAACATTTTTAGCCAAGGTATTCAGCCCCACACGATTTATCCTTTAAAGTTATTTACAGAACTAAATTCAGTTTTCTAAAATTTAGGTTTTCTCCACCTAAGTATCACCGAAGCTCTGCTCATACATGGACAAAGACACAAACTTTTTATTCCTAGAGTTTTTTAAACCCTTTCTTTCGTTTCTTGCACAAGGCAAGTATTAGTTTTCCGATGTTGCAGCTAGAAAGGAAGCAGTATTAGATACTTAAAAAAACGGTTAAATATTCTTCACTAGACTAGTTAGCTGATTTTTGCTAATTATCTAAATTAAATTCTTCATGACGGACTCTGCATATGACGGCGCGATAAATATTGAAGAGAACAGCATAATCTTGGGAAGATCCCTAATTAGCTTCGCAAATATACCAAGTTAGTAAGAGTATGGTGTCGGTAGAACAGCGGTAGAATGGTCGCCGACCACGCATATAGTCCGGGGACGGATTCCTGGTTAACCCACTCCTTTACCTCTCTAAGCCAGTAATGGACTCGTAAAGATGAAAATTCGGCATGAGACTAGCAACTTCATCCTGTAAAAATAAACACCACTGCTACAGAAACTTTAAGCCTTTGGTTTGAAGTCCTATGTTCCACCGGGAACGTTAAGGAATACAAAAAAGAAAAGTATGACGAATAAAAATTATATACTTTCTAATGCGAATACTTTAAAAATAAGATACTTATTGATCCTGCAGCTTAACGTTGTTCATGTATTCTTGTAAGTGATTTCTATTTCAGTTGAATTTTAATGCCGTGGATTTTTTTCGCAGTCGTCAGTTTCTAACGTTCAGTATAAATTAAGTTTTTGTTATTTGGTTTGTATCTGGGTGCTTAGTACAGAAAATCGAACTTCATAAAGCAACAATAATCATTGTTACTATTGTTTCTTTTGGTTCCAAGTGGTACGCGGGGATTTAACAGCCCACCTCCAGTCTGTCCTATTTTCTGTGATCCCTACGATTGCTTGTGGTTTCTCACCCCCATTTTCCATGGTCTCTTCTATCTCACCTTTGGAGACCGCACATTGGCTAATCGGCTTCCCGAAGGCTTTCACGAGTCCACGTCATTCTGTCTTTCCGATTGCAGTGAAGAATAAGTTTGTTTGTTATAGTTCTCTTGCACTTTGAAGTTTCTGTAGAGACTGGACTGATTTTCTGGGGTAGGTTGGCCAACCCCATGCCCAGCTTTCCTTATTTTCCCCGGCTTAGGACCGGCTAGGAACTAGTGAAATAGGAGACTAGGCGAGATTAACAATGATCATTTTTAGCTTATCTAAATACTTAATAAATGTTCATTATGGTAAATAAACAATGAAGACAAGATTTATTATTCCCTTGACTTTTTTTGTTTTTTCCTTCACGTTCCCCAGTGGAACATAGGGCTTCAAACTAGTGGCTTGACGTTTTTGTAGCAGTGTTTATTATTTTTAAAGGATAAGGTTGCTAGCCTCATGCCCAATCTTTCCTCTTTACCAGCGTTATTTCTGGCTTAGCGAGGTAAAGGAGTGCATCTGTGGCCGAGGATCGAACCCCGGACCATGTGCATGGTCGGCGAAAGTCTTAGCCACCGTGCCATGGACGCACATTCCCTTGACTACTGACATTAAAAAAATTATGCCACCTTTGATCACATTGCATCAACTTTTTGGCATTTTTGACGTTTTTTGCTTGACATGCGCCTGAAAATTTTTGCAACTAGGTTCACTTTACAATAATCTTGAATGCACACTATGATGATGCTTTCTATCCTTCTATATGTCTAGAATATATATGATAGGTAATACTGCAGTTTTCAAAGTCATAGTTTGTAGATTAAGTCATGACATAATAATAAGTTTTCTTTAAAGAAATAATTTCGTTCTGAAAATGTGCCACTTTGAAAAAAGTGGCAGAAAAAATCCGTTAGTATATTTATCCTAATAAATTTAATATTCATGGATAATTTAATTCGTGCACATGCATCTATGTGCATGTGTAAATCAGATTCTGTGTTTTATTCCCAATTTATATGAATGGTGATTACTTTTCATTTAGAAGTTTATTTAAAAGTACCAACTGAGCAGAAGGTATAAACTGAAGAGTATGAAACGTGTACTGTTTGAGTTCTGCGAAACACGTCTACTCACATGACGTTACAGTATTCAATAATTGTGCTTTAGTTACATGCATAGACTGTTTTCAGGACTGATCTTAGCAACCGCCAGTAATACAAATAATATATAGACATAAAATTAAAATTCTAAATACAGACCCATCAAACACAGATATACTTCAGCTTATATTTAGTGTTGTTCAATCATGTTTGCAAACAAATGACATCTTATTCAAAGGAAGTCAGACAAGATAACATGGTGCTGTATAGCATTATGTTTTGTTTACGGATCTTTCCCTGTGCAACTTATTCGAACTTACGGTAGTCAACAGCCAGTGCTTAGTATTTACTGCAATTATGGTTGTTAGTCATTCCTTGCGTTCGAAGTGAACTACGGTATGATTTACTGAAAAACAGTCTATAAATTTTAGAATATTGGTCACTTAGAAATACTTACTTATAAGTAGTAAAAATATGTACCATTACTTTTATATATACGTTTTTATTATCCTTTTTTTTAAAAAAAAACATATGTAGTGTATATCCAGAACATTTTAATTTTAGTTAGGTATTCATAAATTATAATGTAATAAAAATTTATTTATTTTTAAATACAGATAAATTTACCTTTTTACATCTTATAGTGGCCATTAGAGTTAAACGCTGAAATCACTCGGGAGCTATTTATCTAACTTAATATAACAATATTATTGCTGAAATGTGGGTTAAAAGTAAACTAACCTACATGTAAATTCTCTTGGTTACATAATAAAAAGCATTTAATAACTTGATACCATTGTTAGATAACAAGTAAAATGGTCTCTTAAACATGTATATTTTTTGCTACATGCCATGCATGATAATGTTTTGTATAATAATAAATAGCAACTGAACGGAGTTATTATTTGTGTAAAATTTAAATAGAAAGATGGTGTCATATTAGTTGATTTTTAGATAGTAACGGTCAATATGCTACATGATACATCTAATCATTATATACTGACTAGTGCTTAGGGCTTATACGCCTGAATACTGTAGACGTAAGATGCAACTTAAGATTAGATGGAGACGTAGGCAGATGCATCGACTGAGCTGACATTCTAATGCGTTGTTCTACGTTAGTCGAAGACGTGGCTTCAATCCATGAAGTTGTTAACTATTTAGTATATGGAGATGGAGGCAGGTGTTATTGACTTATCTAAGCTACATAAGCTAACTACTTGGCATTCATCGTTGCTTTAAACAGAATAATCGGATTCCCTTATGGATAAAATTTCATTTTGATAAAGTTACACAGTGTTATACAGTAAAATTTACTGATGACCACGTTTCGAGCACAATTTACTGCTCATAATCATATCAAAGCACTCACGTAACTTTCTTGCGTCGTTTATATACATGAGTAAAAATTGATTAGACATATGATTGAATAAATATTATTGACTAACAACACTCGTATTGATTTCCACCTTATTATATTTATTGATAAAACTAATATTGCTTCCGAATGTAATTTATCTTTCTTTCTGTTTCACACAAATTTTATATTGATTTTATTCAAATGTGTAATCAGTTTTTACTCATGTATATAAACGGAGCAAGAAAGTTATGTGAGTACCTTGATATGATTATGAGCAGTAATAAACTGTGCTCGAGACGTGGTCATCAGTAAATATTACTGTATAACACTGCATGACTTTATCAAAATAAAACTTTATCCATAAATGAATTATATTCTACCACAGTGCCCGATTTATGTGCTTATATCAATAGTATCATTTGCTTTTACTTTCAAGAAAATTTTTGCATTGTAATTAGGCTTTAAATAATGTTTATAACCACTGGTTACTATTCGCTTATTTCTATGACTTTTAATTTGTTTGTTTTACAAACAATTTTGCATTTTGTAGTGAATGCTTTCGGTAAACTGCTAGTTTCTCTTTTTTGGATTTATTTTCACAGAATGATGATACCACAGAAGCATCTGATATTGAAAGTGATGCAGACTCGGATGAATCCAGTGCATGTCAAACCTCACAATCTAGTCGTAAACCGCTGAATAATGCAGAAAAAAATGGTTCCACAAAACTGAATAAATCAAAAATCTATACTATGAATAAATATAACAATAATTCTAATAAACGAGGTGTTAATCCATTTGTCTGTCGTCGTTCTGGTTCATCGGGTATTGGAAGTCTGTTAGTTTTCCAGTTTCATGCAGCTTTGTCTGATGATGGTAAAGCATTGGTTCATATGTTAACCAATTGTCTAGCTGACTTACCAAGTCGTACACAAACACCACAGTATACCCCGAATAAACAGACACCAATTCATACAGCATCATCTACACATGACTCTTTCGATGATAAAACAACCACTAATCCGTCACCATCTGATTACAAAAGAAAGTGGAGAGTAAATAAATCTGTCAGTATGGACTGTGATAAAAACAATAACAATAGTAGCAATAGCTACTTACAAAATGGTGAGAATTCCTATTTAGATGTTTTTTTTTATTAGCAAAAAATAACTCTATGATATGGTGAAGTTGTTAAACTAGCAGATCAGTAATTCACTGAATTGCCATTTAAAGCCTGTAGAAACTAAGATATTCTTTTTAATCTAGCTACCCTTCTTTAGTCGCTAATTTGTTGTTTTCTGTACACACATTAATAGACTCTTCTTGTTTCTAATTTCACGAAACTTAGACAGAGCCTAAATTCCGTCACCAGCCTTTTCCGTATTGTCCTGAGAAATATGTATTAAATTATTCTGATATCTCACTTTCTCCAATTTAAATGCAACTCTTTTGTTTCTCTTAAACAATAACAGGTTTTCCAGAGAGTAGTGTTATAACGCCTTTCTGAAGTTGTTTATGCCTCTCAAATTTGAAGTGGGATATCGAGTTTTGATAATATAACAGTTGAATTCTTTTCTAAACCAATGAATCTTCAACTATCTGATACTTAAGTTTCATTGTAATCAATAACTTTGTGGTTAATATTCGTGAACTTCAGAAAAGAAATAATCCGGCAGCTGGCCAAATGTGTAGGATTTGACCAATTTTATGTATACCAGTTTTTTACACCTTCCTTGTCATGAGTATCATGTTTACAGGACTTCATCATGAGCTGACATCTGTTAGAGAACCATTGGAAAACCTGGGAGCACTGGACAGCTGTTTCGTCCTAGTTTGGGACCCTTCATCAGTACGCACCCTTGGGGATTCGAACCCAGGATCTTCTGGTTACAAGGCCAGCGAGCTCGTATACCATTAAGCCACTGGGACCCGATCCAATGGTCAGCCCATGAATTCTAACTTCTGCCAATTCATAACATAGCGCGACCCCTAGCCAATGTCTTCGGAGAGTATTTTTCCTCACACTCGACCTGCTGCACCCTACTGGTCACGACTTCTCACTAGAACCTTAGGTAACTACCTACCTGAATAAGGCCAGTTGCTAGTGAGCATCTCATCGATATTCAAGTGTTGGTTTGTAGGGATTTGATTCGTTACAGGATTTCATCATGAGCTGACATCTGTTAGAGAACCCAGTGTATGTGCATTGCTGATAAGTCTCTAATTAGGACGAAACGGCTGTCCAGTACTCCCAGGTTTTCCAATGGTTCTCTAACAGATGTCGGCTCGTGATGAAATCCTGCAACGAATCAAATCCCTGAAAACCAACACTTGAGTATCATGTTTAGTTAGTTAATTATTCTCATTGTCTGTATTAATATGAATGAAGTGAACGTCTGTGTGAATTTTAAATGGTGGAAGACAAAGACTTTTTTCAAAGGCTTTTTTATCCATCAGACATATTCATTTGGCTTGCTGAGATAAATTACTTACAACTGTAATTCAGAATGATTTAACGCTAATGACTAAGTTTAGTGATAATTTATTCAGACTATAAGAATAAGAAATAATTCTTCTGAAATTGATTGACTTCCCAACTTATTCCATTTATAAAAAAGCAGCCCACATCTCATATATGCGTAGAAGACTAAATATTGGTGAAGTGACTTTTGGGTTGTTTTGATGAACAAAGAAGTATAATCAAACAGAAATGTGTTAGAAGGGGTGAACTTATCTACTGTGAACTTCATTTGCTAACACCTGATCTTTTGTACTGAAGTGTACTAGATACTGAAACTAAGGCTACAACAAATAGCTAGGTCTGAGTTACTGTACAACAGTAAACACTCACACCTGTAAGAGAATTCGATGTTCATAGAATTTCAAGAGAAGATAAGTATTTAATACTGTTATAGTCGCATAGCTTCATTCAGTCTGTCACTTTATCTTGACAATTTTTTTTCATATTCTATGAAACGAAGTCTCCGGAATTAGAATTCCATGGATGTAAAGTTGTATTGCATTTGCATTTCTGCGAATGATTCTATAAGTATTCATAATAACAGTGATTTAAGACATCCATTCTAAAATTCAAAACATTGTTAAACAAAGAATATGCCTTTCCGATAACTCTTTCCCTCAGATTCTACGGTTGTGTATGGAGAATGGTTAGAGAATAAGCCTTATTAACATGGGTGCACTTAGAATTATCCAAGAAGATCGAAATCTTGTAGTTTTTTGAAAGAGTGATTTATGGAATCCTGACTGCCTGGTATGGCATTTCCTTACTAAGAAAAATCATCAGTTGTGTAGAAACCAATTCACTCTTATCTCTCCATATAATATGGCATTTTACTTATTTTTCTACCATTGTAGTATATCACGTTCTGATTATTAAAGCGTTACGTCTATACTAAATAAGTTTAAGGAACATTTGTAGAGAAAGTCCTTTGGCTATTACTGCTAAAATCTGCAAAAATGAGTTGGTCAGTTTATTTCATTTATTTAATTATACATTTCGCGAGCTAAGCAGCTTATAGCACAAATAGGATCTCCTCCGCATTGGAATGAAGTTAGACAACTATGAATACCAAAATTAAAATGTTATTTGACTTTATGTTTAAATGTTGCATTTCATTCGGTTCATTGTTTGGTGAATACTTTATTGATTTTAGATGATTATTATAACCACTATTGTTACAGCTATCAGTACTACTATTACTACTACACACTTCAACTATAATGGGTAATAATATAATCATCACTGGAATCTTTTGCTTTCTTTTTTTCCTTTCGTGAATTAAACTAATAATAAATAAATGAATAGCTCGATTGTGCATATCTTTCCCACTGTATGCACATGGTACAACTATCATGCACAGCAATATAGCGAAGCACATATTTCTACTTTTTCGCTTTTCTTAATGCCTCTTTTTTCAGTGAATTACACTTTCAAACTCACATATTATTATAACCTGTTTCAGCAATGGCAGAAATACCGGCATATTAAATATTTCTTCCTTTCTTCTAACAGTAACGTAAAGCTGTTTAGCTATAACACATTTTGTTCGTCATTTGTATAAACAAATAAACTGAAATCTCTCTTCTACTAATTCCGTTTTGGGAACAGAACAGTATAGTCAGCTATCACTTATTCGGTGACTGGATAAGTGAGTTGCTTCCTTAAGTAGAAAACCCCCACTTGTGTGCATCCATTAGGATGAGAGTAGAACAGTTTGTAAATCGTAAAGGATAAATGTGTTGTCATGTTCGGTGGAGCTCACTTATCATGCCTTATCGTTCAGTAGTATGTGGCGGTATCAGTTTTATATTCAGAAATTTATTTAAATATAAAGAATTCTACTTTGAACCGTTTTCTTCTTATTTCATTGGCTCAGCTTACATTCTACTTGATAACTCATATAATGAGTAGATTGAATATTTAAAAGGCAGGTGTAATGGCAGCAATCAATAAACACATTGAATTGGACCTAACAACAGTTCTTTTGCTTATAATTATCATATATATTTATGCCTCATTTAAAAAGAAAATTAGATGTTATTGTAAATGAAAGGTGTTTAACATGTAAGGTTTAGTTACTAATGTAGTCGAATAGTAAGTAACCAGTCATTCTTGAGCAACATTTATATTGACTGAAATCGTTCAGTAATTCGTGATTATATCAGTTTTTGTTCTTTTAAATAAATGTGAAAATGTTCAGATTATTCTTTTTGTTGTAGTTTTCTTTTAACCGTATGGAAGCAATGTCTGCGTTTTTTAATATTCTTTTACTGCACTAGATAATACTTTACCCTTATTCAACTTTTTGAACTACTACCACTACTAGTCGGGTTAAAAAGTAACCTAAATCTTATTTCACTGAACTTTATGTAAGAAGTGGAGTGAGTAAATAAGTGAGCTAAACTCTAATTTCGAAAACCTGACACTGCTTAAATTATGTGAAATCTTATGCATATATATATATATATATATATATATATATATATATATATATATATATATAATGGAAAACTTCCAAGCATGCATATGTGCTTTCAGTTCCGCGAAAAATCCTCATATGCACAAAAACTGCTAAAGGTCACATCTTTGCATTTTTGAATAAGGACTAGGCTGTTTTGCAATTGAACTGACAAGCAATACCCTCACGACTGAAAGTTAAATATATTTCGCTAGGCAATTTAAATACACAGGAACAAATGTGTCCAAATACTGGGTCACTCATAATCCTATGTCTGTTGAATAATGCTACATTGAGACAGGATCACACAAAAAGAGGAATCAGCATACTAGTAATGGTGTTAATTTGCGCTATATGCATTGTGTTGGTTAGTTTGGACTAAGTTGATACAAGCCAAAGTAATCATTCTCTTGCTTCAAAACATTTATTATTGTTGGTGTCATTTAATGATTGAGACGTAGTATTTAGTCCGTGTTTTTAACTTTTTAAGATACAAACAAATTAAAATGAAAAGTCAAACAAACAAACTATAAGACTCTTCACTTGTTTGCAGCAAAATATTATCAGTGACTACTTCAATGTAGCTCATAGTTTCTAATGAAATATTTTTTTTCTGCATTGTAAAATCAACTGTTGTTAGGATAGTATTAGTTAAAAATATATTAAAATATTTTTTCATTTTCCACTTAATGATTCTCTCGCCGACCATGCACATGGTCCGATGTTCGATCCCCTGCCGACGCACACCTGATATCTATGGTCAGCCTGCAAAATTTGGGCTACCGGTATTACATGCTGAAAATTCCATACTTGTACCAAAAATACAGTGTGGAATCAAGCTGTAAATCACAAATTAAAAAAAAATAAAATAAAAAAGAATGTAACTGAATAACATAACTGTTGATTTACTGGATGAAAAATCACATATTTTTGCACGTCGTGTTAGTAAATTTGTTAAACAATGAACTCTGATATTATGCATTGAAAAAGTTTCAATATCATTTGAATTATTTGTATTGCACATAACTAGTTGTTAATTTGTAGTAATAATAAAGACACTCATAAGAAAGCTACTAGACAGTCATGAAGGTTATTTTCGTTCCGTGTACCATTAGTGAATCTAATTTATAATTTGACGTTTGATTAAAGTCATTCTAACTTTTGTCAATACTATACGCTATGCTTTGAAGGCCTTTATTCCTTCTTCATAGTGTTTCTGTTAGTTTGTTTTGACGAATGTTAGGTACCCCAGTCAGCTATCTTAAGAACGCATTAAAAATCTTCTTAAATAATTTTTATTCGCAAACATCTACATACTGAAATTTCTGCCTGATTTATTTTTAATATGAATTCATCCTAGGCTTGAAGTTATCTTTTATCTTTATTTAAATTGTGCGGAACAATTTGTTTAACATATTTCTATTTTTAATCCGAAACGATAAAAAATTTCCTTTTAATTTCTTTCATTCTTTGTATAAAAAAATCAACAAAAATTCGCAAATGTTGAAGAATTAGATTATCAGGTTTCGTGGAACTGAATGAACAAACATGCAATAAAAAATGTAATGAAACATTTGGGAAGAAGTGTATATATACAAATATACGACGAGGAGCGTGATTACGCGTGCATATGTTACATTCTTTCTTAATTGTCTCTGTTGTTTCTAGTATAGACAAACATTTCGTCTTTCTATGTGCCTGCGTGCTTGTAAAGAAGCATATTTATCCGTGTGCAAATATAAAAGGAACTCTGAGATAGACAATGACGATTGAGGGAAGCATTAAACATAGGGAAAAAGGATTAAAAAAAAGGAAACCAACTAGGCATAAAGAAGGTATTGCAGTTTTTAATTTGCACACTGGATTATTTAACACCATATGTTTTGGAAGGCTGACGATATAATATTTTTTCTTCTTTTCTTCTATTTTGCTTTAATTTTCTACCTTTGTCTACAATTTCTCCTAAATTTTCTTCTTTTATCAAGGAGATGAGAAATAATGGGATTCGAAATCGACATTTTTTTTCTAAGTAAATATACAGCGATATGTCTGTTTTTGTAAGTAAGTCTTTGTATACTATACTAATCGCAATATCAAAGCATAGAAATGCTTTGATTGTGCCAGTCGGTAGTTTGTTTACAAACCCATTATATGGGAGGCAGTTTTAGTGATTCTATATAAGCAGTTCCATATTTTCATTTTCTTTTGATAAAAAACAGCATTTGCTTTGGTATTAGAAGTTATTTGATTGGTAACCATGATAGTATGTTTAGTGCTCGTTGAGTTTTATTACCAGCAGATGTACAAAACCACGAGGAGACGTATTTTCACCTTTAATACTCAAGTCATTCAAACCTTTAATTAAGTCTTGTAAGATTCAGTGATGTATACAAATAAATTCAATTGGGTCCCAGTGGCTCAATGGTATACGAGCTCACCTTGTAACCAGAAGGTCCTGGGTTCGAACCCCGGTAGGTGCGTACTGATGAAGAGTCCCAAACTAGGAAGGAAACAGCTGTCCAGTACTCCCAGGTTTTCCAATGGTTCTCTAACTGATGTCAGTTCATGGTGAAATCCTCCATGCAATTAATTGTTCATCTTGAACCAAATGACAAAATTTTCTTATATGATTATATGTACATCAACACAATATTAAACGTAAAAATGCCTCGGCAGGTCGATAACAAGACCGGTAGAGAGGGGAGGCTGGGTATGAGGCTATCAATCCCATCCTATAAAATAAACAACACTGCTAACGATACATCGAAGGTTTGGGTTGAAGCCCCTTGCCCCACTGGGACGAAAAGGAAGAAGAAAGAAAATTAGTGTGGTGGTGTGATGTAGACAAATTTTTGCAGTAGCGTGTCTTTAGGTTTTATGATGCTTCAACTACCACTTTATCAAAAGATCATGGACTAGAAAGCACCTTAAAATTTGATGATCACCTTATTTGGTTTTAAGGAACAAATAGATTAAATACTCTAAAGTATACTTCCAAGTAACTTTTGTTGTTGTATTAGCTTCTCTGATATAGTTTTTGATAAAAATAATAAAGCATTTGACACAGTTATACTCTATTTCCTTCCTTAATTCCAATTCATTCCTCTAATATTTGGATAATAAGTTTGTCTTACAGTCAAAAGTTGTTTATAGTCAACAATGAACATTTAATATAATACTTTACTAGAAACGATGTATTAGTAATCAGTAACTAATTCTGTTGACAGGCTTTTTCTCCCTTCACGTTCCCAGTGGAACATAGGGCTTCACGCTAATGGCTTGAAGTTTTATTTATCAGGATAAGGTTGCTAGCCTTATGCCCAACCTTTCCTCTTTACCAGCATTATTTCTGGCTTAGCAAGATAAAGGGGTGCGTCTGTGACCGGGGATCGAACCCCGGACCATGTGCATGGTCGGCGAGCGTCCTAACCGCTGTGCCACCGACAGACTTAGTAGCCTAAAATCCTTAATTGCATGAAAGTATTCAACACTACTGTTTCAGTTAGATAAACTTTTTTTCTCAGCCAAAAAATATTGACTGTTTATATAAAGGGATACTTACGACTCTATTAAGTGTTCCCTGGACAACTCACTCTACTATGATCATAATTCAATCCAAGACATTTCATTGAAGTGAATAAATTTGAAGAATTGCACCAGTTCTTTTTGTTAATCACTTATTATACGTCTAATGTTGTTTAGTTAAATTTCATCAGTATGATTTGTTACTTCTGTTTCTTTACTATAAATATCCTACAAAAACAAAGTTATACGTCACCTTGTTGCCATGCTTTTTTTCTATAAAACCAATCATTATAAGACAGAGTGAAGTATAAGTATCCAGTCCCCAGATCAATGCAGTCAATGTTTGACAAGTAGAATTCATGAATAAAGTAACAATGACAAATGTATCAGGATAATATTAGCTGATTCTGTATTGTTTCGTGGTTTCTTATCAGGTAACTACGGCCTGAACAATATGAAAAACATAATTTGTGTGGAGGATTTAAACATACTTTTCACAACACGAGAAGGAGCTAGAAGTAAAATAGGCCCGCAGTGATGTAGGTTGTTAAATAATTAAGACTCAATAGGAATTGACAAGAGGACAGAGTCCACAAAAAGTTTCTCGGGCAGAAACAAATAATATATCCAGAACTAGGAAAACAATACAGTAGATTTTTATAAAAATAGCAAAAAAAGAAGTCACATGAGCAGTGTTCAAATGAAACAATAAAATTCCTTAAGCAGAACACGAGATGAAGGAGAATGCATAAGGTAGTCGAGATTGTTTAATCTCATTTTGTGAGTTAATTCATCAAGATAGTACAAAGTTCATTACTGTCTCTTTCTCGGTACATAGGCTTAATTTTGATTGTTTGACGATGATTACCTTAGGAAAACGCAGCCAGTTAAGTTTCTTTTGTCTGTTGATTATTTCTAATGCTTTCAGATCATCCATAATATGATCAGTGTCCAACTGCTCATTTTAAAGCTTGTGAAAGTTTTGGTTTCAGTTTCTTAGGCATGTGTTCGGAAATTCAGACAATGTCCTCTCTTCTCCTACTTCTTCCAATGTGTGTGAAATGACATGCAAATATAAACTGGTAGACTTTGTTGAACGTAACATGAGTTGGGCGTTTCTCCACTTTCGATTGTCTTATACAACTGTTTGTTTGAAACACAAACAAGCTTGGTTGGATGTGTTGATTTAAATTATTGCTAAAGCTGAAAGTTGTGGAATAAAAAATTTAAACTGCCTAAATGGAAGTTTACTAACCAGTTAACTGGTTATTTTGATGCCATTTTATGAGGTGAATATAGTGAATTCAATTTATGTTCAGCATTTAGTCTAATGTACTTTTACACATAATTTTTTCAACATCACTATGTATTCGTATAATTATCTAAAATCTTTTTCTTTTCTTAAAAATAAATGTAGCTTCATCTTCACACAGTAAAGATGATTCAAATTGGCCTAAACTATGTATTCCATCGAACAATTCTGTTTCACCAGTCAAATCTAGTCCTTTTTATTACTCTTGTGAATCTTCCAAAAGTTTACTAGTGAAAGAACAAAAATCTCCATCAAATATATCAAATAATTTAGCCCAGAAAAATCAACTAATTACTTCTAATTCTATTCAACAAAAGCCTAAACTAGATCATCAAAATGAATCAATTCCTAGTGTATCCACAAATTCCTCAAATATAAATATCACTTCATCACTGGATGATGAAGATCCTGAAGAATCAGAAGCTGCGCAATGGTGGTATACATTTTGGGCCAGTTCATTAGCTACAATAGCTACTGTCTGCGATTTACTAAGAGTAGCAATTACGGGACCAGCTATTATCTTTCATAAATATTTTTTAACTACTGCTGATATGGGTTTAATTACAAAGTGTCAAAATAAAACAACAAGTTTGAAATCAACCACAAAATCCAATGTCAATGTTCAATCAACTAATAATAAAAGTAATAGTATTGATCAAGAGAGAAACATTATTATTCACAAATGTGCCTTATTATCACTAGCTAAATTAAGTCGTCTACGTCAGATTACTAAAGCATCGTATTCTGAATTAATTTTAAGCCTGTTAGCTGGTGCACTACGTGCTTATCATCAGGTAAACAGAGATTGTGTTGTTGTTGTTGTTTTTTCTTCCCTTTAAAATTCATTGGTAATCTGAATAAATACCATCAGGCTTTATAATACAAGTAATATCATAAGTAGTATTTTCTTTTATTTAAAAGAAATTTATTAAACCGATTTCTAGAAAATGAGTTTATCGTACCAGGACGTTAAAGTTTAATCAGCGTTGAAAAAGTATGACAGTAAGTAATAATCATACACGAGAAGTGATTAGAATATACTATTTCTACATATTTATACGTGTATTTATAAATCTGTGTGTATACTCAACAAACTAAGCGAAACATGCTTTTTTATCAGGTTTATGTTGAAGAGGACAAATCATTAACTGACTGAAATGTATATTGCTCGCTAATATCTAAGTGATTAATCGAGTGAAGTAAAAATCTGATCTGATTATCTATGTGCTTCGAAGCCTTCGTATTCTTCTTCTCCAATATCACAATTATGTGAAATATGAGACTTTATAATTTATAGTAAACTGACAAAAAACAATCTACTACAAGTTCTACCACTGTGTCATTGAAGTCATTCATTGATGGTAAATGTTCTAAATATAAAATCATGTATACAACAGAAAGTATCACATGAAAATCAACAATAAAAGTAACAGACTGTAAACTTTCATCAGTGGTTTCAAGCAATATTGGAGACCCGAAGAATAAGCAAGCAACAAGAAACTCTAGTATTGCAGCGAACTAGCCAAGAACGTATTGCTCAAAAAATATTCAGAAAATAATAGATAAGCTTACATAAGATTAGCACTTGGGAACTGTGGTAGAGTAAAGTATCATTATCGATGATCGAAATAGAGATGGGTTGAACATACTCTGAGAAAATATTAAAATGAGATCATATTTTAGGCACTTCAGTGGAATCCGAATGAGAAGTGGCAAGTTGAACATTCGGAGGTGACATGGAAAAGACCATGTGAAAAGGAAATGAAAGTTTGTGGTCAGTCGCAAAGCCAGATAAAAGTTACTGCAGAGAATTCAGTGTAATATAAATAAGACACCGGAGCTCTTGGTTCCACTTGTAGTTCAAGTAATACTCATCTAAACACAGTGTAGAGACGAATTTATACCAGGTGTTTACCTTGTTGGTTGACGTAATTTCTCCTTTTCCGAAATAAATTAGATTTTGTTGTAAAATAAAACTGCTTTGTTTTGTCGAACGGATTTTTTAAATGAGAATAATTGAAAAATTCGTAAAATTCAAAAATATTTGGAATCGCCCAATTAGACTAAATTAATATAACGGTGCTTACAAAAAGATTTGATTTTACACCAGTGTTCATTTCATTATTGACTGAAAATGCTAGCAAATATATATATATATTCTTTGCCCCTTTGCGTTCCGAATGTAACGTACTGCTTCTAGCTTAGGCTTTGAAGTCTCTATAGCAACAGTTTTTTCTACAGGGTAGGATTACTTACCCCTCACAATCAATCTTTCATTTTCACCTTGGTTAGTAGTGCTAAGCTAGGCTTAAGATTACGTTTTTGCCGGTAATTGAATACAAATCACACGAGTGGTTGGTGAGCATTCTACCCCCAGAATCGTTGATGCAAAAATTATCCTGACCAGAAGTGATGATAATATTCTGCGGTAATCTGGATTGTTGACGTATGACTGAAAAGTTTGCTATTCATGATTTCATTGAAGTGATAGGAGGAGTATTTAACCAAGATAATATTAACTTTGCTATTTCTTTTTGTTTTCCCTTTTTTTAACTTACAAAGACTATGGGATTCAAACATCCTCCTGATTTGTTAGCATTTTTATCAACGGAAGTCCCTGTGTTACCTACATGTGATTTAGGTGTTTCAGCAATATCAATTTCAAACTGTAATAACAATGCAGATCCACCTTGTACAACTTTTTCACGTGTACTGAATACAACACAAACAGCAAGATCAAGTAATTACGGCTTTCTCAACATGTCTTATTGGCGTCAGCAACAGCAGAAACAACAACAACATGATGGTAATACAGTTGAAACTGGTTTATTAGGGAATACAAATCGAATGGTGGCTTTGGGTTCACCACCAACAACAATCAGGAGTTTATGTCCAGGTAGAAATGTTTTAGCTGAATTTTGTCTGCCGATAAATACAGAAGGTATGCTACCTAGGCTATGGGAAACTAAACAAAGATTGAATGAATTGAACACATCTGTTGATCCACTGTGTTTGGCTTGGGCTCGTACTGTATTGTATACCCTGATGCCTCATTCTTTAGCTAAGTGGATTGAATCAACCTATGGTGGACCAGCTAAAGCTAGTGTAACTGTAACTGGAGTAGAAGTAGTTTCTCCATTTACTACATCTAGTTCATCAAAAAATACAGATTCCAATTTTTCATATCAAATGCCTAAAACAAGAAGATTAGCATACATGTCTTTACTAGCTAACAAGTCTTCCGATGCACGTATACTACGTCAAAGATTAAGAAAACGTCTTCCACGTGGGGCAGCAGTTTATCCACCACGTTTAGGAACAAGTTTTCGCGCATTAGCTCGTCATTTAGTCAATGCCAATGCTGGAATTATTTATGTAGCTGGTTGTCCTATTATTCGTATTGATACCTGGATGCCATCTCCAAGCCATACACCATCAGAGCTAGTTCCCAATGGTCAGCTGACTACTTTGGACAATAAAACAGTCAAATCGCCTGGTGAAACAGTTGTTCATATTTGTCGTGATTTAAGTGTCACATTCACAACATATGCTGGACAGTTATCTTTGACATTCTCAGCCAGTTCAAGACATTGTATTCATCCGAATTTGGATTTAATCTTATCAGGTATAAAGTCTCAGGTAAGCACTTTTTTCAATCTGAAAGTTATACCTGCTGTTTTTATTAAACGTGTTAAATTATGTGAATTCTGTCCGGTATTTATTTTCCGGAGGTAGCTATTTTTATTCTTGGTCTATTAAAGTTAGGGACAGTTTCGATTATAAAATAATTAGTTCCCTTTATGAATTTCGACAAAGTAATAATAAAGACAATTCATCTGAATCGTGTAGTGTAACCTGATTGTTCTAAATGTGTTAGGCAAATATATTACACGATACAGATAAATTATGTCTTTTTATTACCTTGTCTGGGTTATAAAATGAATTACCTTTACTCATAACTATGATTTCTATCATAAATTTGCTAGCAGGTAGTATATTGTGGGCCCTAAGTGTCTGAGGTTTGATTTTTGAATACTAAAATATAAGCAACCTTACATGTGAAACCAAAAATACTTTGTTATGCATTATGGAAGGAAACACTACATAAATATACGATGACTAATCTGTGGTGGTTCAGGTACATCAAATACAATGGAAGATGAAATGATGTAGCAGAACATTTTAAAACAGACTAATTAAATATAGAGAAGTCATCCACATTTAGACATTAAAAAATATAAAAGGATTTAGCGAAGAAATACTTCCTTATACTTTAGATCCTCATCCCTAGATCTACTCTAATATTTATAGCATTTTAATTCAGAAAATTTTACTTATCTAACGGCGACATTCCTGTTACTAATAATTAGTCAATATCAATATGTCAGAATGAAGTGATGATTAACAAAGAAGGTTAATACAAATAATTAAAGGGTAAAGGTAATTACAACAAGCGGATTACATAATGCATAAAACTGGAAAAATAAGAAGTAACTGAGGCATAAATGAGTGTCCAATTTGATTACACAACAAGCAATTAACGATGAAGTTTTCATAAAATATGAAATAATTTGGACAATGATAAGTGTTGTAAGAGGTGAAATTGTCGGATTTCTGCAGTCGTGTAATGATGGCCACATTCCCAAATTTACGCCTCCATTGATAAAAATATTGCAGTTATAATTACAAGGTAAGAGTCAAAATTCATAGGATATGAAAAGCAATTCTGTTTAACACAAGTAAAGATTAGGAGTAGCATTACAGAAAAAAAATGCACTGTTCCCTGACAAGCTAAAATGATATAAAATGGAACAATTCTGCATGATATCAGAGGGAAATATACCCAAGTGCTGCTCAGGCTTGTTTTGAACGCATAGATACTTTAAATATTCTCTTTTATCTTAATTTACGAGGTGAAATTCGTAATTTCCAACACTTATTGCTTGTCTATCACTCATCTAGTATGCATGGTCAACTCGGAAACAGTCTTTTCTATGTTAAACCATTTCTCTGTGCATATCTTTCCTTCTGAATAAAAAAAATGTATCAAATCGCTGACAGCAAAATGTCAGTAATTTGTAAAACACTTATCAAATACAGTAGTTACTCCATTTTACTTTCTGTTGACGTCCTAACGCTTATTTGTTGTTCAAGTTTACATATCGCATATTTTTAACTCGGATTTAGTTTTCCTTTTTTTTTACTTAAACGTCAAAACCCATTGGAATGCAAAGAATTTCATTCAAAGAATATCACATAAATCAAAACGAACTTTCTTATTTTCACTCCTGATCCTAATCTTGTCCTTTAAAGAAAGTACCTTATTTTCTGATATTTCATTGAAATTATAATTGAATTTATTTATAAACATTATCTGTTAACCAAAATCAGTGAATTTTTTATTTTCATAAAATCTAGTCCTTGTTTCACTCTCACAATCCTACCACCACTGCCACCACCACCATAGTCACTAGTGTTTTATGTTGATATGTTACTTAATAACTAAAATGGGATTGATACATTTTGAACAAAAGTCAAGAGAAAGCAATATATGCATATACATGCAAGAATACATGTTGACAGAAAGTGGAATATTATGCCAGTCTATTGTATATATGCATATTATTATGATAAAGTAATTTGTTTACATTTACATTCAGTCAGTTGGTTATTTCAAAGTTGCTTGCTTGGTATTATTTTTTCTCCGTTTCACTTCCTTGAAAATACATATTTTGCAAACATACTTTGGTATTTTTTTTGTTCTTTTTTCTCTCATCTGTATCATGTGGTTGTTGTTCAGTGTGTCATTTTAATTCTTAACTTCCTTTATTTCTATCTCCTCCTCTACGTTTAGCTGTCTTTTCCTCATGCATCGCATTATTCGTGTCCTAGCTTAGTGTATATTTTCAATGCGATTCAGCATATCTAACATATATTCTTTAATATTTTGAAAACGTAGGGTAGGGAAGAAAACGAAGAAACAAGGAATGGTTGGGTTAACAATAAATTTTTGTAAGTGAAGTCCATGCCAGCAGGATAACTTGTGATTAAATTAGCAAGGAATTTCACTTCAGGCAAATTGACTAAGACAACTACTGGCTGATGTACAGTGAAATGTTATTTATTATGCTTTTCTTCTTGTCTTACCTTCTCTTTTCTGAAAAAATCAAATTTTTTCTCTACAAATGTATACTTACATACTGATTTTTAAGCGTTTGCAGTAGAGATTAATTTATAATAAATTCCTGTACTTCAATATTTTACAAAGCGATTTAATTACCAAGCAGTACAACAGCATAAGTATGTAGCAAATTTTCGCAATGACAAAAGAATATTTCAAAGATGTATCATCAGAATTGTTAATTTTAGATTAAAAAAATGTTGACTAACATTTTGCACAAAACCGATGATTCGTATGAAAATGAAGGAAAAACCACCGCTACTGGCTTCATCAACGTGAATCTCTCAGTTTAGCTGCTCATGTGGAGCTAGATATGTTAGCTGTGCTCAGCCTTTGCTATCCAAACGCATCATCGAGCACTTACCTTCATGATTTTATACATAATAAAAAAGATCACCCTGCAGCTCTATCCAAGAACAAATGATCTAATCTGGACACCAGTCTAATCCATAAATCACCTTTGAAGTCATCGACAGAATAAGAGGGAATCCTGCTAAAAGAGTACGAATAAAGCTTCTACAAACCTCAGAAGCTACAGTAATTCACATATTCATTGTTGAATTCCGAATACAGAAGTTTGTTCAGTCAATAAATTTATAATAGACTTAATCTAGACATTTGTAAAAAATTATATTTGTAATCTATCTTAACACCAGCACTCGATTTTTGTTTTCCAATAGTATTATTCTCTTCCCTCACCCCTATTAAAGTCCTATTTCCTATTGCAGCTGTTGTTAAATTAACTCTCTTTAACTCAAATTTAGCTGAATTCTACTCAGTCCCGTCAATTGTATTGAGTCGATCAGTTTACATATTTTATTTTGGCTGCTACCCGATTAACGCTTTTTTAAACTATGTAATTTGTCATCTAAAATTTACAATTCTAATATTTTTCTAAGTCTCTAGATTTTGTTGTTGTTACCACCTTCAAAAAATAGTGAGATCTGTTGTAGTCCACTGAAGTTGGCATGTTAACTAAATAATTCTAAGTAATATTTTTTAGGTAGCAAACGAGACAAGAGTGTAGTCAGTATATGAGGTTCATTAGCTTTGATAAAGTTAAGCTAAGACAATAAATAATGAAATGTCAGTAAAAGCAACATCATTTTGTTTTTGATTCAATATGAAATATAAAACTTTCTAATAATGAGGAGATTAAAGAGCTGTCGTGTGTCGATTAACTGTTAATACTTATCCCAGATAAGTGCATCTTTCAGTTTGTTCAATTTATATCAATACAAATCACTTTAAGAACAGTCTTGTAACAAATCAGCGCTAGTAAGCTCACTGTTAAATAACGCTAAATCAACATGTAACAGTTTTCCATTGCTCTGAGATCTCAGTAATTCTATCAATTATTTTTGTTTCGCAGTGCAACCAACTACGAAATGTACTTTTTGAGTCGATCTTTGTTCTTGAATTATATATAAGCATATTTCTTCAAGTGCAGGAATAGCGCATAAACTAATTAAGTGCTTTTATTGAGCTTATGCACTATATCAGTACACTTCACACACTTGTAAAAAGTCAACTGGACAGAAAATTTTTCTTGTTGATATTTATAGAATTACTATTCTTAAGCAAAAACACTTTCGGATGTGATCATTAGAGATAAAAAAAAAATCTGGATTAAGGTACACTTCTAATTACTTGCATGTGTTGTGTCTATTAAAAGTTTGTTAAATGCCTTAAAAACTAAGCTTATAACGATTCCCTTGATTTAAGGATGAGTGATTCAAGTGAAACAACGGATACACATAGCACAATGTCCATAAACTAGATCAAAAATTATTCATTAACATTCGAAACTGTTGACATGCCACATTTTTCCGAATTTTTCCTCATGATTACTTGTAAAAAAATTGGTGATTCTCTCCGGATTCTTATAATTATAAAGTCAAACTTGTTATTACAATGATAACCGCATAAACATTAAGGGAAGATAAGGCAAGGACAACACTTGAATCTGTTTGTTAAATGAATTTAACCGTCACACCTTCAACTACTTGGAAAAAACAAACAAGGTGTGATAATGTAACCCAATAAAAAGTAGAAATGTTAAAACAAGTTATTTATAAAAAAATACTTTGTTCACAGTAGCCTCCATTTCATGATATGAATATTGAAGAATTTGAAATAGTAGGTACACATATCTTCAAAAGCTAAAGGCATTGTATATGTAGATGTCTGAGTGCATTCACATGTAATATAAATGTTATGTGATCCTTACGGATTTAAAACACCTGACGTTGTACATCAGATCTTGTTCATTTCAGCTCATCTATATAGTTTTATGTGCATTTGTATGTGTGTGGATATATGTCTGCATGCATTCCTACGTCAGTTTATGCGTAATGTGCTTTTAATGATCATGAATATTCGACAATAGTGAAAGCCTGTGATTTCAATAATTTTTGTAGTTTGTTTTCGTCCACAGCAGCAGAACAGCTCTATAGGTTGAACGCTACATTCAAGTGGGTAGTTTCATGATATAAGATGGTTAGAGGCAATCGACCGGAAGCCTTGGAGATAGGTTTTTAATGCCAGTTGGCGCTCGTTAGTAAGCCATATCTGCGTTCTTAAGGAAACTCATGTTCCTTTTGGGATTCGAACCCGCGTCAACCATTGCTGCAGTCAGAGACGTTACCACTGATCTATTTGGGCTAGGGATTAGCCTCCTGTAGGCCTGTATTAGGTAATTTGATTGGACACTGGTTAGTATCCAGTGTAATGTATCTAGCTCTCCGTTTGTCAATCAAGTCCCTCCAAGGTTTCAGATACGCCTTGCTGACGATTGCCAACTAGCACGAAACCTAGGTCCAAGGCTCCCTGCCGATTGCCCCTAGTCATCTAGTATCAATTATTCAACATGAACCATGATGGCGGGCCACGTAGAATGCTGGTCACATTGCAAACTTGACTGATAGAATTCCGTCTGCACCAAGCAAAAGACTAGACACATTACACTAGTTGCTAACTAGTGTCATGGGGCACGGTATCTTCAGCAGTGCATATTGATGTTCCTAGCGGAAAGTCGAAGTCAGGGACTTTATTTGGAGTGTCTCTTCTGTCATTGGTCTACTACTAGACCATTGCCATGTTTAAAGATTTCTTTGACGGAATACTTATCCATGAGTGTAGGGAATTTCCTAAGTTGTTTTCGGTTTTTAATTTTCTAGGACTCTAAAACCCTTTGCAACAATATGTCCTTGTTTACTTATATATATATATATATATATATATATATTATATATGTTTTTAGTAATCCAATAATTGGATGGATGATGTTATTTAGTGGTATCTTGGATAGGCGTTTCATTTTATCCGGAATTGCATACTTGGTTTGCCTACATCCCAATGAGTAAACAGTATTTTTATTTTATTTTTTTTAATTTGTGATTTCAGCTTGATTCCACACTGTATTTTTGGTACAAGTATGGAATTTTCAGCATGAATATCGGTAGCCCAAATTTGCAGGCCGACCATAGATATCAGGTGTGTGTCGGCAGGGATCGAACCTCGGACCATGTGCATGGTCGGTGAGAGTGCTAACCACTGTGCCACATGACTCTAACACTTATTAAAATTTATTTACACTCAATCTGAATATTCTAGCTTAACAAGCCATTTAATTGTAACTTTTAGATTGAAATCACCGTAAAAAATGATATGTCAGATGTTTTTCTAATAAGTGACTAAAAGTCATCCTCGTCAAATGAGGATGTCATCTTTGTGTCATTAGATATGATGATGCAAAATCCTTTGAAGAATATTTATCAGATAAGCAGCTTATGAAAAAAACGAACGATGATATGAATTCATGCGAATTCATGGAAAGTTCATCTCTACATATCTCTATACCGAAAATGTTAAGTCAGGTGTTTACACTAATCTATCTGTAAAGCTTGGGCTATCTATTAGTTCATTTATTTGATATGTATAACACAGTGGAACAGTATGACGCTTCTTCGAATGACGTTTGGACTGAAATTTATTTTCATAATCGAACCGACCGAAGCTCTACAACAGTGAAACTTAGTTTTAATAGTTTCACCTCTTCTTTTTTAACTTTTCTCAGGGCTATACAAATTTCGAATTAAGTGTAATAGGCGTTAAGTAACACCAATATATATATATATATTCTTAATTCCTTCACATTCCAAGTGAAACAAAAAGCTTAAAACTCCAGCTTCAAAGTTTCAAAAGTTGTGGTGTAATTTTGAGGGTTGGGGTTCCTAACCTCACATCCAACCGTCCTTATCTGTTTGCTGGGCTCAAGTTGGATGACGGATTGATATCAGTTAGAGAACTAATGAAAACGAGGGATTATTGGGCAGCTGTTTCTTCCCAGTTAGGGGCTCTTCATCAGCAGGCATCCGTAGCCCCACCACTGGCTACCAAATCCCGGACAACTAGGCTACGAGGTAGTTTCTCCCAACATACAACCACTGAGATGGAATTCATTGGCTCATGAATTCCAACTTCTGTCAAACTAATATTTGAAAAGTAAAACACAAGTCATCCCGAGATGGTCCTATTTTCCAAATCTTAGCATTCTTTAGTGGTTCAAACCTTATGTCTATCGGATGTCCCCACTCAATAGTATTAACTTTCAGAGTGAGCACTTTAGCTATCAGCCAACAGTTCGTGCTGTTGTACCACCTCTAGCTAATGTATATCGGTGAGTCGATTGTTGCGTAACCGACTTGAAGAATCTTAGCGAGCACAATTCACCAAAGTTTGACAGATTCACTTCACTTATAACTGGACAGGTTAACGTGATAACAATGCACCCAGCAATATTACCGCCACCCCCCTCATCCTACATCCTTTTGCCTATTATGATTCCCAAGTGACCACTGGATATTTCTGTGTAAATGTCCACCGCTTAAGGTTGTTATATTTTTGTGTTCTCATATGTATGTAACTGGTATTCATTAAACATGTTGTTCAACACATCACCACTGTTCAGTACGACTTGTATTTGCTTGAAGGACTGTCGTATTTGCATTTATTACGTTTAAGTTACTACCGTAATTTTTATGTTTCAGAAACAGATAGAGTTTTATGCTAAGTCACCTATGTGTTACGTTAACTATTCAATAAGCTCCAGTCTACATGTCTTTAGTATTTCTAGTGGGAAGTAAAAGATATTTGTAGGCAAAATAAAGTACCACACTAAAAGGTAATCACTTTTATGTGTATGAGGAAACAGTTGCTCAGTACAACTACTCGGTTTCTGATAGTTCTCTAGTTATAATTCTGAGTCATAACAACAAGAAGCTTAAAATCAAAGTATAAGTCTAGAGAAAAATTGAAAATTGAAAGAAAAGAACAACAATAATAATCACACAATAAGAACAAGTAGAACATTTAGTGTTTTGAATTTTATTAAACATATAAGTAGTCAGTAAATATTAGTTAAAAAGTAGTGATTTTTATTTACTAAAATATTATACGTATTTATAAATAGCTGAAGTAAAGCAAATGATAATTACATCACCACATCCACTGCTAAACTTTCTGTAATCTTAATTATTTTTTCTCCCCAGAAAAAAAATAGAGGAACGAAAAGGGAAATATTATTTATCAGATAACAGCACTTAACAGGTGTTCTACAGCTGTCTTAATAAGTGTTGTGCAATTTCGTTTATTTTTTAAAATAAAGTTCTCTTCTTTCCTGCTTTAAGCAAGAAAAACCAAGTAGGCATTCTATTAAGCCAATAGGTGTG